TAAGAGCCTTTGGAACAATGTGCAGGTACCTGGGGCCTGCTCATGCCCAGCAGGGCCAAACCAGTGATGTTACCAGGTTCGAAGAACAACCAGCAACCTCGATGAGGATGGGGCAGAAACAGGCAGACCAGCCACCAACCTCATCTACTCAAGGAGGCAGGCAGGGATGGTCTGGCTCCCACACCCCGAGTGGCCGCAACCTGATCACCATGGAGCAGAGGTTTGAGGTCAAACACATGGCACTGGGGCCCTGCTTCCAGGGTACAAGACTTGCCCCAGATCTTAGGAGTGAGGGCCCAGGAGGCCAGTTCCCTAGGTCTGTCATCCTTGACAGGTTTATTTCATGGTCAAAAATAGGAAATGTGGCCCCTCTATACAATGACACTCCAGGGTGAAGACCAGAGCTGCGTTAGGAAGGAAGAGCTCCTGCCTGTTCTGGAACCGGCCCTAGTTGGATCCCAGAGTCTGTCGTCTGCCCTCTTTTTCTTTTCCTCTGGCTGCTTGGGATTCTCTATTTTTCCCTGTTAGCAACCATTGATAATCAGCTTGTTAAGGGACTTCTCAGCAGCCCCTCCTGCAGCCTGCCCTGTGGAAACCTGCAGGAAAGCATACTGCTGTCTGCACAACAATAAGTGTCCAGATCTCTCCCAAAGTGATAGAGTTTTTAGGTCTGTCTCAGTAATAGTATCACCCAGACTACCAACATCTACTGTAGGGATAATCTTGTCCTCTGGGGGAATCCAGACAAGGTGTGGTTGAAGCCTGCTTTATAAGTTTATCTGCTCCAGGGTCATCGATTATATTGTATAATACACATACATATATTATATTGATGAAATAGCCAGGCATGGTGGCGTCCATCTGTAGTTCCAGTTACTCAGCAGGCTGAGGCAGAAGGATCACCTGAGCCCAGCAGGTCAAGGCTGTGGTGGCCATGAGTGTGCCACTGCACTCCAGCCTGGGTGACAAGAGTGAGACTCCAACTCAAAAAAGAATTTCTGATCAGCAAGAGGATCATCTGGATCTCTGGGTCACTCATGTCTGTGTATACTCCTCTCCTCTGTTACTCTCCTCTTTTATCCAGGAGCACATGATACTCGGGGGTGGTACAGGCCAGTCTGTCCAACATGTCACTGGTATTTGTGGCTCTCCCCAGCCGGCCAACCGGCTATGACCTTCAGAGTGAGAAACCTCTCTCCATATTCTGCATGTAATACTCTTTGTTGATATCTAACTTTGGCATGTCATCTTTGAAAGACAATTCTGTACCACAAACTTAAATGAGCAGGTGATACTCTAGGCTTCAAAGGCAGGTATGACAGTTATTCTTCAATTTCCTGAAGGTTTGGCACCCTTCAGTCTCCTTGAAACTTATGTGGACCCTAGGGCCCCAGAAAAATACTGAATGGCCTGGCACAGATTTTGCATTTTTTTCCTCACGTTTTTATTTGATAATCCAGATATACAGGTTTTCTCCAAAACATGTCCGGCACAAAATGGGGAAGTCTAGATCTTCCCAGTTGTGACTGTTTTAGGTATTGGAATCATGAGGTTGCCATCATGAAAGTATCTGGAGGCAGTAGTACCTTTTAGGTAGAAAAGAGGACCACAGTCCTGTGAGGCCCAGATCTTCTACATATCCTTGTTCTTGAGACCCTAGGAAAACTGCCTTTGATGGTATGTGATTCTCTTTCTTGACACAAGTTGAAACTCACTTCCAAGGAATTCCCATTCTTGCTGGATTTCCTGGTCTCTTCAAGGACTGTCCTGGGAAAGATAGAAAAATGTGGATGTACCTTGTAATTATTCACATTGTCTATTTGAGTGTTTTTCAGAACCTCCTTCAAGCCTGACATGGCCTAAGCATGACCTTAATAACATCAAGAAATAAAATTGAGAAAACAAAAAATAAAATGTCAGACTAAGATCTTAGCAACAATTACCTTAAATGCCTAAAATAATCAATTAGAGACAAAGATTAAGTGGATTAATAAATATGACCATGTATATGCCCTCTCAAAAGCTTGGGAAAATGCCAATATTAATCAAGAAAAGCACTAGTAGTTACAGTAATATCAGATAAAATAAATTTCAGAGAAAAGAAAATTACTTGAGAAATAGAGAAAATTAAATACTGATAAAAGAGGGCTGGGCATAGTGGCCCATGCTTGCAATCCCAGCACTGTGGGAAGCTGAGACAGGAAAATCACTTGAGCCCAGAAGTTTGAGACCAGCCTGGACAACATAGTGAGACCTCATCTCTACAAAAAAAAACTTTAAAAATTAGCCAGTGTGGGGTGGGTGCCGATAGTCTCAGCTACTAGGGTGGCTGAAATGGGAGGATCACTTGAGCCCAGGAGGTCAAGGCTGCAATGAGCCAGGATCGTGCCATTGCACTCCAGCCTGGGTGACAGAATGAGAGCCTCTCTCAACAACAGCAACAAGAACAAAATAAGTTTTTTTTAAAAAAAGATAAACTGCTTAATCCATCCAGAAGGCATAGCAATTCAAAATGTGTATGCACCAACCAACAAAGCTGAAAATTTTGCAACAGAAACTGAAAGAAGTTGAAAGGAAAAATAGACAATTTGACAAATACACAATTATAGTTGGAGACTGAAATTTCTCTCTAAAAAAAGAACTAAGTACATTTCAGCAGCAAATATGCAAAAAAAAGTAGAACAATTAAACATCATCACCAACTAAAAGGTTCTAGTTGACATATTTAGAACAATTTATTCAACAATATCAGAATATTCATTCTTTTCAAGTGCCCATGACACATAAACCAAGACTGACCATCTCCGGGCCATAAAACAAACTTAAGTAAATTTTAAAAATCAGATTAAACATAGTGTGTTCTCTGACTATCATGGAATCAGACTAGAAACCAGTAACATAAAGACGACAGAAACATCTCCAACTCTTAGAAATGTAAAGAGAAAGTCTCTAGAAAAACCAAAAATACATTGAACTGAAAGACAATGAAAACACAACATACCAACATTTGTGAGACACAGCAAAAGCAGTGGTCATCAGAAATGTATAGGACTAAAGGAATATATTAGAAAAAAACAAGTCTCCAATGTAGGCAGGTGGACTCACATGGAAGAAACAGGAAATACTGAGGTCTTCTGAGAAAATGGCAGCAAAGCAAGTGTGTCTCACTGGATTGTTTCTGAAATAAGTCTTTCTAACACAAATAGAGTTCTTCATACTCTTTAGAATTCTGAAATGTACATCACTTAAGGTATGTGCAGAGAAATAAAATTAGAATAAAATTAGAATTAGTACCTAACAAGGATTTTCAAAAAGGTACAAGTAAAATAAACAACATGCCAATAATTTACATGAGAAATCACTGGACTCATGTAATTAAAACTCACAGTCACATTGCAACTCAAAGAGTAAAATTATGTTCTGTGCAAATTTAATTAATATTTTAAGTAGATTAAAATGAAAATATGCCTATCAATATTTGTGAGATGTAGCAAAATCAATGCTACAAATTCATAGCACTGGATGTCTAATTAAAAACAACAAAAAATATGAAATCAATGATATAATCTTCACTTTAAGACCTCAGAGAAAGAAGTGTAACATAAATCAAATCAGTCAGAAGAAATAAAATACAAATTAGACCAAAAACCAATGAAATTGAAAACAGGAAATCAGCAGAAAAAAATTATTGAAAAATAAGATGTTTCTTTGAAAAGATCAATAGAAATGGTAAACAAGCCAGACTAGCAAGAGAAAGATGTAAATTACAAATATCAAAAATAAAAGAGAGGCCATCATTTCTGATCCTGTAAATATTAAAAGTATAATAAAAGAATATTATAAATTTCATGTTCATAAACGACAGCCTAGATCAATTAGACCAATTCCTAGACACAATCTACTAAAATCCATAAAAGGAGAAAGAAGAAACTAAAAAAGACCTAAGGAAATGGAATCAATACCTAAACATCTTCAAATATGTACTTATTCCCCCAAAACTCATTAATATTAAGTTCTTTTATTAGCAAAGAAAATACTTTTTAACACCAAAAAATGTAATTTTTGTCATACAAAGGATGGAATATTTGTATAATGGGTGAGGATATACAAATCCTGCCATCTAAGGGGCCAAAAGAGAATGCCAACAATTAACAAAGACTCATTTTTCAATGGCTTATTAATCACAGAACAATTAAACCATATAAAAATTAAACCTACATATATATTAGAAATACATTTTATTTCAACCAGATATCCAATACACTTTAATATGGATAGAGAAAAAAAATTTTTTACTGGCTTAAAAATATATATTTCATATTAAACTCACATGATTGCTTAAAGAGTATCTACAAAACTCTCACTTCAATGTTTCCTTGCAAAAGTTGACATGTACTGTCCAGAGACCCGCTTTAAAAATGAACAACCAATAAATACAATCTAGTTATACCTCCTATAAAATTTTATGTATGTTGTGAATTTTCTTGAGCATTATACTATAATTAACTTGCAATAGGTTTTCCATATAACTTACAATATTTATTTCCAGTGAAAGTTACCACATGAATTTTAAGGTAAATGTTAAAATTTAGAACTTTCTGTATTTTCCAAACTACTAGGGCTTCAATCCGGTGTGCATTCTTATATTAATATATGTATAAGGTCAACCTGTGTTGTGTGTGTTATTATATGTCTTAGAATGAGTATAAGAGAAACAAAGGCATTTCCACAATTGGTATACTCATTTTTCTCCAGAATGAGTTATGTTATGCCAACAAATGCAACTGAACAAATACAGGTTTTAACACATTCTTTACATTCTGTGTGAATCCTTTCAAGTTTTCCTTTCCTTCCATGTGAGTCCTTTCAAGTTTTCAAAAAGGACTGGAAAAAAACTGTAGGCTTTACCACATTTTTTACAGTCATAGAAGTTTCCTCCTGTTTGATTCCTTTATTGTCTTTGAAGAAACCTGGGAAAATAAATGCCACATTTCTTACATTCAGAGTTTCTCTCCAGCATGTGACTTTTCATGTTTTCGACAGGAACTATATCGACTGAAGCTTTTACCACATCTTTTACACTCATAGGGCTTTTCTCCAGTATGAATCCTTTCATGTATTTGAAGAAAACGGAAACATCTGAAGTGTTTCTTACAGTTCTTACATTCATAGGATTTTTGTGCAGTGTGAGTTTTTTCATGTTTTTGAATGGAATTGAAATATCTAAAGGCCTTACCGCATTTCTTACATGCGTAGTGTTTTTCACCAGCATAAGCTTTTATATGTCCTTGCAAGGAATACAGCCAACTGAAGGCTTTACCACATTCCTCACATTCATAGGGTTTCACTCCAGTATGAGTTCTTTCATGATTCTGAAGGGAACTGGAAGATCTGAAGGCTTTCCCACATTTCTTACACACATAGGGTTTTTCAGCACTGTGGGCATTCTTATGTCTTTGAAAGGACCTGAACCAACTGAATGCTTTCCCACATTCCTTGCATTCATATGGTTTCTCTCCAGTATGAGTTCTTTCATGGTCACGAAGGTCATTGGAACGACTAAAGGCTTTTCCACATTCCTTACATTCATAGGGTTTCATTCCAGTATGAGTTCTTTCATCATTACAAAGAGAACTGAAACATCTGAAACCTTTCTCACATTGCCTACATTCACAGGATTTTTCTCCAGTGTGAATCCTTTTACGTCTATTAAGAGAACAGGAAAAACTGAATGCTTTCCCACATTTCTTACATTCATGGGGTTTTTCTCCAGTGTGAGCTCTTTGGTGCCTTCTAAATGAATTGGGAAAATCTTTGATTTTCCCACATACAGTACAATTATGTCCATTTTCAGTATGCATTACTATGTCTCTTTGAACTCTTTTGAAAGTGAAGGTTTTCTGATATTGTTTACATTTATATGGCTTCTTTCCACATGCCTCACAATCATATGATTTGCTTCCAGAGTGATACATGATGTGCCTACAAAGAGATGAATGACATACAGAGACTTTTTCATAGACACTGCATTCACATGGTTTTAATCCAGTAGAAATTTTCTTGTTCATCCTAAGACCTGAAACCTGGCCGAAGATTTCTCCACATTGACTACCTTCTTTACTTTCACACAGTCTCTCTACCATAAGACTTCTGAAAAAAAAAAGATAAACCAATAATTAATGATGATAAGTATATTAATGCTTTTATTTTCTTACAGGTCTTAAACTTTTGCTAACAAAATCAGGAAAAGTGAAAGTTTTCTGCCATGACTAAACTGTTTGAAAGTGAACACATTAGTCTGCAACACACTCTCTGCCCCACAGCAATTATTAATATTATTATTACTTCATCTTTTTTTTTAGTTGGAGTCTCACTCTGTCGCACAGGCTGGAGCGCAGTGGCCCGCTCATGGCCACCAAGCCTCCACCTACTGGGCTTAGGCAATCCTTCTACGTCAGCCTTCCAACTACAGGCATGTGCCACCATGCCCAGCAAATTTTTTGATTTATGTTAGAGATGAGATCTTGCCAAGTTGCCCACGCTGTTCTCGAACCCGTGAGCTCAGGCAATCCTCTCACCTCAGCCTCCCAAAGTGTTGGGATTATAGGCAGGAGCCATTGCACCCAGCCTACAGCTATTATCAAAACAGTATTATTCTCACATGCAATTCCTTAGTACTTAATACAGGTAGGGTATCTGTCCCTTCCAAATCTCATGTTGAAATGTGATCCTGAAAATGGAGGCTAGTGGAGAGGTATATGGGTCATGGAGGCAAATCATGAATGATACCCTACAGTAATGAATGACTTCTCACTCTATTAGTTCCTGTCAGACTTGATTGTTAAAAAGAATCTGGCACCTCTTTCTCTCTCTCTCTCTTGCTCCTTTCTCTCATTACATGACATATAGGCTCTCCTTCCCCTTCTGCCATGACTGGAAGCTCTCTGAAACCCTCACCAGAAGCAGATGCTAGTGTCATGCTACTTGTACAGTCCGGAGAACCATGAGCCAAATAAATCTAATTTCATTATAAATTTTCCAGCCTCAGGTATTCCTTTGTAGTAATGTAAAAAGACTAAGACAGAACTGTTTCCAAGTGAGCTATTTTGCCAACATCAAACATTTATGTTACATTGAAGTATATATATGTGGTAGAAACTTTCAAAGAATAATTAAAATTGTGACAATGTATTTTGTTTACTTGTTTTTGAAATATTATGACATGTTAAGATTGCCCAAAGGGTGTTAATTCCCCTTGTGAGTGAAACTTACGTTAGATTTCTCCAAGAATTTTTATACTGATCTTCAATGCTTTGGTCTTCTCCTTTGCTTCCTAAAATGTAGATCCATAAAGAATACAAATTACTGGAAATTATAGAAAAATTACTAAATTCTAGGTGCTATGGAGGGAATATGGTTTTTACCCACCAAAATTAATGTTGCAAGTTGGTCAAAAATATGGCAGTGTTAGGAGGTGAGGCCCTGTGGAAGGTTTTGGGTTATGGACATGGATCGTCATTAATGGATTAATGCCTTCCCTTGCCAGGGCATGTATTATCACCCTTGCAAGACTGAATTTGTTACCAGAGAATAGATTGCTATAAAAGCAAGTTTAGCTTCTAGACTGGCTCTTCTTCTCTTACCATGTAATCTATTTGTACATACCACTTCTCTATGAGTTGAAGTAGCACTTGGCCCTCACCAGATGAAACTGGCCAATCTTTGACTTTCTGGAATCATGAACCAAAATAAAACTCTTTTCTTTGTAAATTACCCAATGTCAGATATTCTGTTATAATAACAAAAAACAGAGTAAGACACAACACTCATTTTACACTGGCACCATGCCTGATTGATTTACCAAAGGAGTCCCTTTCCACATTTCAAATCATGGAACAGCATTAAAAACCATAAAACGTTTATTCTCTGACTAAGAAACATGGTTATATTTACCTATAGAAGCCAGATTGCTGAAGGTTTCCTGCATCACATCTCTATACAGATTCTTCTGGGAAGGATTCAGCAAAGCCCATTCTTCCTGAGTGAAGTTCACAGCCACATCCTCAAAGGCAACTGAGTCCTAAAACATTCCATATTTTTGTAGAGGAGGATGGGTAAGACTATAAGCACTGGATATCTACAGTCAACTCATACGATGTTCAAATTGTGGTAAACATTTATGCCACGGCTTGGTCATCAGTACTGTTCATCTCTGTCCACACTTACTTCCTCACACACAGCAGTTCTTATGTTAAAATTGAACTATTCAGAAAGGCAATAGCAGAGTAGGAACATCCTTGTTGTTGATGGGTCCAGGGAGTAAAATTTGCTAAGTCACCCATAATGTTTCTTTGTAGAATATATCTCCAGTACCCGTCACTACAAAGTCCTACTACATGGTGTGCATAAAAGAGTAAAGACTGAGGTTGGGTGCAGTGGCTTTGCCTATAATCCCAGCACTTTGGAAGGCCGAGGTGAGAGGATTGCCTGAGCCCACAGGTTCAAGACCAGTCTGGGAAATTTGGTGAGATCTCATCTCTACACTAAATAAAAATATTAGCCGGGCATGGTGGCACGTGCCTGTAGTTCTAGCTACTTGGAAGGCTGAGGTGGAAGGATCACCTGAGCCCAACAGGTCAAGGCTGCAGTGGCCATGAGCATGCCACTGCATTCCACTGGGTGACAGAGTAAGACTCCAACTCCAAAAAAAAAAAAAAGAGTAAATACTGCCAGTTCTGAGTCTACTTATGCTTAGAAATGCCTGCTCACAAAGTCTGACCTATGCTGGTATCAGGAAACTTAGGTTTTGGGAGGCATCTCAAAAACCTAAGTGACTCATTGTGGCTAGTTTTTCTAAACAATATGACATTTGCTGAACTCCTATTTTTCTTCTGAAAGACTATTATCTGGTTCTCTTCTCACAGTGGTTACTAGGTGATCAGCCTCAATAAAACACTCTGAGCACTGAGTATTTAAATAAGCTTCCTTGGTAGACAATATTTCATGTATGTTGTCACAACTTGTTAATTGAGAAATGAGCTCATTCCATGTGGTTACACTAAAAGAGAACACTTGGAAGCTTGCAAATGGTTTACTCCAGACCAAATTTAATCAAGTAAATAAGCCTAATAATATTTAATAATTTAAATGAATAATTTTTAAATTTATATTGGGAAATGTCAAAGCAGAATGGAATAAATGGAAAGATGATATATGTTTTCTTGGAAAGAACTCAATGTCATCTAGAGGTCACCTCTTACAAATGATATCCCTATAATATTCCATAAGTCCACGAAACAGACTGTTTAGTGGTCAATAAAAACTACTTTTCGCCGAGCTCGGTGGCTCAGCCTGTAATCCCACGCCTTTGGGAGGCTGAGGTGAGTGGATTGCCTGAGCCCGCGGGTTTGAGACCCGCCTGGGCAGCGAGACCTCATCTCTACAATAAATCAAAAAAAAAAAAATCAGCCAGGCATGGTAGTGCATGCCTATAATTCCGGCTGTTAGGAAGGCTGAGGCGGAAGGATCGCCGGAGCCTGGCAGGTTGAGGCTGCGGTGGCCGGGAGCGGCCACTGCACTCCAGTCTGGGCAACAGAGTGAGACTCCAACTAAAAAAAAAAAAAAATTACTTTTCAAAAACCTGTAAAAATAATAAATGTCTAACAATTGTCAAAGTCCCTTTTGCACAACAGCAGGATGGCTTGTCTAACATCCATCAAGGATTTCAAATATAACATTCATAATATAGTATAGGCAGCATGGTATAAGCAGAGAGATAAACAAATAGGCTAAAGGAAAGGAAAAGAGACTTTAGTGAGCTGGAACTTATGTGGAAAGTTGACTAATGACAGTGGAGGTACTGCAGAAAAGTGAAGGAAATCTCAAGCACTTAAAAACATGGGGCAAATATAACTGGTTATTTGAAAACACGAACTGAATTGCTCTCTATTCCATAGAAAATTATTTATTGTACATTCAAATGTGAAAAACAGAACTAGAACATGTGCAGCTGTCACAGACCAATTGTTTTGACAAAATAGGCAGGTTTTTTATATAAGAAAAAAATTAAGCAATACTAAGACCAATAAATTTAAATATATCAAAATTAGGGGATTTAAAAGACAAAAACATAGTAAAATAAAAATCTATAACATATGTTGTGATGTTGATATAGATATTGGCTTTCATCCACAGTTCCCAGCTCCTAACCCTATAGCCTCTGTTACAGTCTTTTGTTGCAATGTTGTGTGTCAGGCGTCTGGGGCAGGTCTTAGGAACAGACTCTCTCTGACTTTCTCATGCCCTACTTTCACCTGCCCAAGGCAGGACTCCAATCTTCTCTGTCTTCTGATTGTGGGTCTTAGGACTCTTCCTAGAGAAGGTCCTATCTTACATCTTGGCGGAATAGGTCATGAAGTTTCCATAAAAACCCAGAAGTCTGGGTTCGAAGAACTTCTGGATAGCTGAACACATGGAGGATCCTGGAGGGTGGCAATGGAAGCATCTTGCCCCATATGTCACCCTACACAAGTCTTCATCTGTATCCTTTAAATATCCTTCTTAACAAACTGGTAAACATATTTCCCTGAGTTCTCTGAGTTGCTGCAGCAAATTAATCAAATGCAAAGAGAGGGGCTGTGGGAACCCCAACTTGAAGCTGGTCGGTCAGAAACTCCAGAGGCCTGGCCTTGCCACTGGTGTCTGGGGGAGAGGCAGTCTTTGGGGACTGAGCCCTCACCCTGTGGAATCTGACACCATCTCCAGGTAAAAAGTATCTGAATCGAATTAGATGACATCCAGCTGGTGTGTGCTGCTTGGTGGTGGGGAGAAACCCCCACATTTGGTCACAGAAGTTCTCTTCTGTGTTGATGATTGTTATAGTGAGAGAGTAGAGGGAAAAACACAATTAAGGAGTTTTTCCTAATTCACATGCACTATAAAAAAAATGAGTGTGCTGAGTAAAAATGAATAAAAAATGAGAAAATGAGCAAAAAACAATTAACAGATAAAAGTATGTGACAGATGATCCATTTCCATGGATAACATGGAAACAAAACAACCAAATAAAATATCATGTAGATAATATTTGACATCTATTAGAAGAAAAAAAAATTAGCCAATTAGAGAATTCCAAGTAGTGATGTCCACAGCAAACAGTTATGCAAGAATGAAGGAGGAGCCAATGGATATACTCCATTGCTACTTTCTGTAATTTGAATTCTACCACAATCTACAGTACAGTAATTTTTCATGAATATCCAGAAAATTTATTGTGCATTTATACTTGCAGACTGACATAAAAGGATAGGAATAGTATTTTTCTACAAGAGCAAAAATAAACTTTAAAAAGTTCAAATATAGCCGGGCTTGGTGGCTCAGCCTGTAATCCTGCGCCTTTGGGAGACTGAGGTGAGTGGATTGCTTGAGCCTGCGGGTTCGAGACCCATCTGGGCAACTTAGTGAGACCTCATCTCTACAATAAATCAAAAAATCAGCCGGGCGTGGTGGCGCACGCCTGTAGTTCCAGCTACTTGGAAGGCTGAGGCAGAAGGATCGCCGGAGCCCAGCAGGTCGAGGCTGCGGTGGCTGGGAGCGGCCACTACACTCCAGTCTGGGCAACAGAGTGAGACTCCAACTCAAAAAATAAAAATAAAAAAGTCCAAATATTATAAGCACTGCACTGGATGAGTGATGTGGGATGGCACACAGCCTCTGACCCTAGCACGTGTAAAACATACCAAGGCAAGGAAACCAATTGATCTACCTTTTCATTTTAATTTCATTAATACTCATTTATTAAGTTCAAAGGAGGCAAAACTAAAACAACAACAGAAATATAAGATGGTAAAAAATATGAAAAACAGCCAAAGAATCAGGACACTGATCACCTAAAAGGCAAGATGGAAATGAGTCTGGGAGGTGACCAACAGGAAACTTATGACTGCCCCAGGCCCAATTGTAAAACTTGATGAAAATTCCAAGATGTTTCTATTATTATTACTAACACTTACGACAAATGTTTTATTCATTCTTTTGTGACTATGTTTCATGAAACAGATTTTTAAAAATTAATTGCTTAGTCCAGTCTCACAGGCAAGGGCATAGAAAGGAACATTCTCACAACCACAAAAGTGAAACGCAAGCAAGGCCGGGTGCAGTGACTCAGCCTGTAATTCCAGCACTTTGGGAAGCTGAGGCGAGAGAATTGCCAGAGTCCAGGGGTTCGAGACCAGTCTGGGCAACTTGGTGAGGCCTCGTCTCTACAATAAATCACAAAAATGAGTGGGCCTGGTGGCATGTGTCTGTAGTTCCAGCTACTTGGAAGGCTGAGGTGGAAGGATTGCCTGAGCCCAGCAGGTCGAGGCTGCGGTGGCTGTGAGCGTGCCACTGCACTCCAGCCTGGGTGACAAGAGTGAGACTCCAACTCAAAAAAAAAAAAGGCAAATAAATTGAACTGAACAACTTTCTGAGACCCATCAGAGAATTAAGTTCACAGGGGAAACCACCATCTCAAAATCAGAGGGATGGAGGGGCACATCCAAAGAATAACTGACATGATCAGAAATTCCTACAAAACACCTGTGAGGAGCAGTTGCTGAGTATGAAAACCTAAACTGTAATTGTTAAGTTGCTGAAGTTTAAGACCTACAATCTCCAAGATGCCTAGTCTCAGAAGTCCCCACAAATTTATGAGTTTTCTCTCTAAAAACTCTTTAAGGCTCTCACAGTAGAGAATTCAGGAAAAGTGGTTCATGCTTCCAGCAAGAAATGAAAAGTAGCTATTTTCAAATATGCCCAAAGAATTCTCTTCTTTTAACAGTCCTGCCTTAAAGAGGAACTATTTCTCAAAAGCCTAATCAGTGGAGATTTTACCAAAACCGTACCTCCTGACATACTGGAAATGCCTAATTCTAGCCCCCTCTAACCTCTTGCCTTAATAAAAAAGAGGGGTAAGAACAGAAAAGTACTTACAAGTCATAAAACTAAAATAAGATTAAATCATTGGTCAATAAAATGCTACTCCTTACCCTACACTACCACATCCAAAAAAAGCAGAATACCGGCCAGGCATGGTGCCTC